GTGCCGCCGCTGTGTGTTCGCGACTGCTTATTTGTTCCGGTATGCCACAACTTATTCACAGCTAACCTAATTCGGTGAAGGTATCCTCCTATCCACAATCCGGGGATGCACCTGGTGGCACTCTGCTCTGCTTCTTCTCAAAGCACCTAGGACGGATATCGTGATTCGAGCCGGAGACCTAAATGCACCCGTTGGTCGTCTGTCATCCGATGAGATCCACCTTGGTGACCGTCATGGCCTCGATAGCTGTCGTTCAGATATTGGGGACAGACTTCTTAGCGTATGCTCAGAACACGGTCTGTTCCTCGTTAGCACAAAATTCAGACACTAAGCGTCACCTCGCCACTTGGTGTAACCCCTCTTCGACCGTACTAGACGATTACCAAAATGAGTTGGCCGTAACGCTAACTCCTATTCCAACAAGAAGTGTAGATTAACACTGGACAACGATTCAAAACGCAATGCACTCAGCCGCTTTACAAAGTTGTGGCCACCCACCGAGTTGTAAATCACTGGGTCTCCCCCAACTCTCCTAAACCTCTTGACGTGCGTCGGGCAATCCAAGCAGGACGCGGGTATAATGAACAGCGCCTCACTCTGAAGCGTGAACTCACAGAGTTTGAGAGACGACCGAGAGACCTGATGGACGCTACGTGCAAAGGAGATGGAATCGGCAGCCAGGTGTAGAAACACCCGGCGACTATTCCAGCTCATCCGTGCCACGGGATCTGAAAGACAATGAGTTAGTGAAACAATCTGCGAAGTAGACGGCACGNCTAATGAACAGCCTTCACCGACGCTTGAAACGCTGGGCAGAGCACTTCACATCGCAGTTCAACCAGCCCCCGCGCTGGATGCTTCAAGCAGTCCCCTTGAGAGTGCACCCTGATCACTATCCACGGGACCGCCCTCAGAAGCGGATATCCGAAAGGAACTCCAAGCCCTGAAACACCACAAGGCAGTTGGATCAGACAGCCTGCCACCTGTCCTCTCTAAGACGGTGGAGAAGCTCTCGTAAGAGAAGTTGTGAGATTGTTCTCGAAGATCTGGGCAACTGAA